ACCCCGGCGCTCTTGGCGCAGGCTCACCTCGAAGATTCGTCCTGCCGCCTGATGCCCGCCTCAGGCACCGCGAGGCAACTACCGTTGCGCGGTGAGGCGTAGCCAGGCCCGGCCAACGCCGCCAGCCCAGCGCGCGGGTTTCCTCCGGGAGGGACAGGCCCTGAGACGGGGCGGAGGCAGGGGTGAAGAGCTGACCCGGCTCTCTTCCGCCCGCTTGGGAGCGGCTTCCTCCCTCCAGCGACGCGAAAGCGCCTTCGCTGCGCGGATCCCTCTCTAGCTGCACCCCGAGCAATCCACGAGGAGGAAACAGCACCCAAAAGCAAAAGGCGGCTGCAAAGTAAGGACGCCCTGAGCGTCCTTCGTTGGGCCAATATTCTTCCTTCCTAATTAATGTGTCTTACTCGTTAAAAGCGTGGCACGCAATTTCGTAATCCTAGCGTAAGCTCCAAAAACGAGCTTCCAGCGCGCGGAAGTAGAAGGCATATCTCATGGGAATCAAATCCGTAACGAAAAGAAACAATCCGTGCGCCCCTAACAAAATAAAAGCACAAACAAAAATAGACAAATTCCTCTTGTTTTTTTTTTTAATACCTCAGACCAGAAGAAGAAATAGCCACCCTGTCCAAACGGACCTAGCCGCATCACAGCTCAGACTGTCGGTCCCTTCGCTACGTACCTGGTGCGATAGCGGGCGGCGTATTTTGATGAAGAAAGCGACGTCGGCACCCTTCAGGCCAGGTTTCAGGGTGGGGTGTCACCCACGCAGAAAGCGGCGGGCTTTTTTATCATATTCTCTGTTTATGCTTTTGGTTGAAAACCTCAGTAGCGCTTCAGATGCACGTAATCTTTATTGAGACTGGCTTGATGCGGCTTACAGGCTGAAGCCCAAGGAAGTCTTTATCACTTATGGCTTGTGCTTTAGGCGCTTGTAACTGTAATCAGGGGGGGATTATATCAGCACGATCCATGTTAGCTGAACCGTGACAAAAAGCTTTTCGCCGTGTGAGCGTCCCCCTCGCGGCACGGCGCTAGCGAGAGCAGCAAAACCCAGAAGGCGCAGGTGCCGCTGAAGGTGGGCTCGCCGCCCGCTGCCCGCGGGGGATATCGCTCCTCTTCTTTCTTTTTTGGAAGGAAAAATTAGTCGTTAATTAGTGGAAGCAGATCTTTGTACAGTGCATTGTTATCCAGGATTATTTCATTAGGATCTGCTGACCCAGTTTCTGCATCGGAAAGGGAATTACATTTTTTCACACTATGGCGGGGGTGGGAGGGAAGGAGGAAATCAATAACACAGATTACTCAAACTTTTAAAATTGCCGCTGCTAACGAGAGCAGGTGGCCACGCGGGTATCTCTGCGGGAGCCACAGCGGAAGACGAAACC